TATGTTTGATAGTAATGAGTATGAATTCGATAGTCATTTTGAAGAATAAAGTTCATAAACTTGCATTGTTATAAATACAATAAAATTTATGATAAACATATTTGTGTATTTAATAATTTTGGCTAAAGTTTTCGTAGTGCTGGCATATGATATCACGTATAAAATTTACATGAAATTTAAGTTACTGAAACTTACGTAAAATTATATGAAATGTAAAATTGTAATTTCTGTAACACAACCCTAATTCCGGCCAAAAATTATGTAAACAATTATGTAATGTGGGCCAAAATTTTGTAGATCACGGCCGTTAGCCAATCAAAATCGAGGAATTCTGTGAAATTTTGGTGCGGCAGCTAGGTAGCATATGATTGCAGATCTGCGAATTAGGGCTAGCGCATATCTGTGATAGCATAATATACGCATAAATCTGACTTTTATCGCATAGCATATGCGATTGCGAATTTCGCATATCAGGACTGGTTTCGCATAATTAATAGAGCATAATTTGCACATAAAGTGACCAAAATTAGATTCATAGTTAAATATAATAAAACAGGATAAAGCCAGTGTTTAAAGTTCGAATGTACGTTTTTTACAAAATAGAACAGTTCACACATTCGAATTTAGATACTAGATAAGACCTGAATTGCGAAAAATCCTTTTACATTGAGGTAAACTTGTTTTTTTTTTATAAAGGGACTAGATTACACAAATAATTTCATTTTTACTTAATTTATCGTGCTTCATTATTATCTGTCTTATTACATAGTTTTCTTATAAACATTACGATTCTTTTCTACGTATTCATTTTCTGTAAATTGCACTCTATTGCATTATTATTATGTTTAATAAAGAATTGATCTTTGCATTATTATTAACAACTATCGTATTGCATTTGAGTCTTTTAGAACTTGTAGTGAACCTGTAATTGCTTGAATTAAAATTATTTGTATCGACTTTGTGCATGAATTAATAAGCATCGATATAAACGAGACCCTTAATTAATTATGAATTTGTATAGCTTCTATAACGTTATACAGTAATTATTACACTCATTTTTTTTTAAAGACAAAATCTATTATTACGTTTTAGAACTTAACCCAGATATGGACTTAACAAGTCTTTTTCAAATCATGATACTTTGTCTTGCAACCCGAATTTATCTTGCTATAATACTGTATAATTATTAAAACAATAGATCTAAAGAAAAAAAAAATTGGGAAAATCTGTTAGTGCTTCAAATTTGCGAGAAAAAATTAGTAATCAAAAAATAATTCTTAAAATATGCTACTGTTAAGTAAAAGCTCATGAATTTTTTGTTTTTTGTATTATAAAATAAATAAAATAAAAAGTACAAAATTATATTTTTGTTGGTAACAAGTATTATAAAAGACCTTTTTTTTTTTCCTACAAATCTTAATGATGGTTTCCCCTTCTGAACGTAGACTTGAAAATTTAGAATATAAAAAAAATTTTTATGTTGATGGAAAAAAGTTATTTTGTGAGTTTTGTCAACACGTTGTAGACCATACAAAAAAATCTACATTAGACACTCATTTAAAATCAGATAAACATAAAAAAAATGTTAGTAAAGCTGAAAAATTAAAACTAACCTATCAAACAACTCTTGATACAACTAGTATAAGTGCAAATGAACGAGAGCTTATTAATATTGCTTTAGTAAATGTATTTACTAAAGTAGATATTCCTTTATATAAAGTCGATAAACTTGACAATTTTTTTTAGAGAATTGTAAAAATGGTAAATTATTTATTTTTGTTAAATTTATTTATTAAAATTAATTAATTTATTAATTTTATTTAGGTGGTGCAATTGTAAGTTCAAGTCAACTTCATATCAAATATTTACCAAGGGTATTTGATATAGAAATTTCAAGGTTACAAGATCTTCTAAAGGACAAACGAATTTCTATTACCATCGATAAAACTACAGATATGTGTAGTAGAGCGGTTGTTAATATATTATTTAGTTTTAATAATCAAACGAAGCTTGCTAAAACAGAATTTATTACTACGGTAGACAGTACTTCAATCGCTCAATTAGTTATCAAAGCCTTACAATTTTATAATATTTTATTCAAAAATCTTATCTTTTTTATTTCTGATAATGCTGCGTATATGTTGAAAGTTTTTCAAATTATATCTTCATTAATTCCGCAATTAATACATAATCGTTGCTTAGCCCATATTTTAAATTTAGTTGGAGAAACATGAGTTCATAATAAAAATTTTCAATTTTTAGATAATATTGTTAAAAATATCAAAGCGACGTTTATTCACTGTCCAGCTCGTAAAAGGTGTTGGATTAGTTTTTTAAAATCTCATTTTAATTCTAATTTATCTTTAGATAATAATACAAATAATTCTATTACTTTACCACCGTTACCTGTTAAAACACGGTGGAATTCATGGTTTAGGTTCAGTTTTTGGACTAATAAACATCTTAACCAATTACATTTATTTTATATCGAGGAAGAACAAATTAATAACAAAAGTCAAGCAATTCAAGAATTGGCAACTATCTTTAATGATCGTGCAAATACTTTTATTTTTGAAGTTCTAACTATATTTATATTATTTAATGCAGTACAGTATGTATTATTGTTTTGTTAAATTAATTTAACCTTATCGTTATCCTATTTTAGTCTTGTAGAAAATCTTGATCTAACCTTATTTATTATTATTTTATTTTATATTTAGTTTCGTAGAAGATCTTGAATTTTTTGAAACTAGAAGCAAACCTGTTGCTCCATTTGTAGCACAATGATTAAAACATCTTGAAGCTTCGTTACAATCAGGTATTATCAAACCTCCAATTAGTGAAGAAATAAAATCTAAATTTGAAGATAATCATTTTGAGATGGAATCATATAGAACAATGTTTTGTGAAGCATATCAATTAGCTTTTAATAAGTTTAAAAAACACATCAATCAACACCCTGCATTACCTTTATTTACTGCAATTCAATGCTTTGATCCACGGTTTATTCAAATTCAACAGTGTCGACAAAATATTAATTTGTATTCAGAAATTCTGGAATTCAAATTACCAAATAATCAAATTATCCAGGAGTAGGGAATTTATTGCGGATTAAATGAAGATTTTTTGAATACCCAAAATTTTAACTTAGATGTTTATTGGAATGAGAAAATTCGAAGCTTACCCAATTTATCCAAACTAGCTTTAGACTATATTTGGCTCTCAGTATCTGGTGTAGATGTAGAATGAAGTTTTTCTGCATATAAAACCATTTTTGATGATAATTGGCATTCACTTTCTGAAACATCTATTGTAGCATTAAATTTTATGTATTTCAATAAATAATTCAAGAACAGATAAGAGAATTCAATAGGCTTATTTTTTTTTTTTTAAAAAAAAAATATATATATATATATTAGGCCACGCAAAGTTAATTTTTCGTTTTGCATAACCCGCCGACCCATTTTTTCAAATTTTCAAAATTTTT